GTGATATTTCAGTTTTTCTTTTTTAATAAATCTGCAAAAATGTCAACGATTCTGTGTTTTTCTGTCAATATGGGGTGTTGTGTGTACATTAATGAGGAAAAAAAATTAACTTAAATTATTTTAGCAAATGGCTGCAATATAACAAAGAGTGAAACATTTAAGGGGGTCTGAATACTTTCCGTACCCACTGTATATGTTTTGTGAACATTTGGGTGTTCATTATAACATTTTCTGGCTGTAAAATTGTGAATATTGAATGGTCTACCTCAGATTTTGCTTGGCACCATTACTAAAATATATAAAGAAAATCATACAGACTGTCCTGTAATACCTCTGATTGATATGACTCATTCTTTCCTCTCGCCAACAGAACCAAGAGTTCTGTCAATCCCAGGATTCAAAAGTCTACAAGTCTGCACACAAATATCCATCAGCAGCCACCTAAACCTCAGCTCCGTCCCTCTAAAACACTTCCACCCCATCCTCCATCTTCAGGCCCCTCCCACTCACAGGGAAGTCGGACCGCTACACGTATCATTACTCGTACCTCAGCACTTAATGCCACCCGGAGCATCAGCACCTCTCCTCGGAGCAACACCACCTCTCGCACTGACAGCCCTTCGCCTCAACGCATTCGCCGACAGCCTGCAGCCAATGAAACGCAACGAAAGCCCAAACCTCCTTGCCTGTCGCAGTCCAAATCCAAACCTCAGGATTCCACCCCCAAAAAGAGCAACACCCACCCATCAGCCTCATCGCAAACGGCAAAGAAAGATTCAATGGAATCAAAGACTAAAACAAGATAATTAAGACTTCATTCCTGTAGGTGATCTTCATCCTCAGCATCATCATCATCATCACAATCACTCTCTGAATCATCAGTGTTGGACTGTACTTCTCATTAAACACAACAAACTCAACCAAACAATCTGGATAGATGTGTTCGTTATCCAGCCAAGTGACTGCAGCAGCTACGAAATACCTCTAATGAGGAGAAACTCGTGACA